GAGCCAAGTCATCGACTCCTTGGGGAAGGTCACCCACGTCTTCTCGGACAAGACCGGCACGCTAACGCAGAACTTTATGGAGTACAAAGCTTGCTCCGTGGGAGGGACCGTCTATGGTTTCTCACTCCAAAGCTTCTTTTTGGTCTTATCTCTCGACCCTTTTAGTTCTTTCATGTTGGGTTCCAAGTTTTCAGTCAAGGTCTCAACAGATTAATTAAGCTGAAAATTCCAGGTGTTGTTGGCAAGCCAGGCTTGGAAGGTTTGCGCCGGAATGTCCTCACTGACGCTCACGTGTGCTTGGACGCATCCACCCTTTTAGGGCATTTGAAGTCTGGAGGGAAGCAGGCCGAGAAGCTGACATCTTTCTTCCTCTGCCATGCTTTGTGTCACACCGTGGAGCCGGTCCCTGTGCTGAACTTAGCACGGAACTATATATTTTGGCTGGCGGTGTTTATCATTCCGCTTGTCTTAAAATAGAGGAAGCCCTTCGCACTCGCTGAAAGGGCGGTGTTTGCGATTATTTTTCCGTGTGAGGCACAGCTAGTTACTCCTTGAATGTTTGGACACCAAGACACGATACAACGTTCTATGTTCGCTCAACTACTTCTGTTGGATAGTTATTGGATTGGTTGATCCGACAACTATGGGATCCAAGTCAGGTCATCTCAGCAGCAGATGTCCCTTACAATGCTTCGTCTCCTGATGAACTTGCGCTGGCGGGGGTTGAGAAGAATGAGGGTACGTCAGAGAGGTGTCTGTTGGGTTGGCTCTAGAACGCGAAAACAAATGGTTTCCCTTTGATTTCCCCTAGACTGCACCAAAAGGGGTACCCTCAAAACAGGACTGAAGTCTTGCTTGTTTGGTTCATCCAAAATGGAAGTCACACTTTAAGTGTCGGGGACGTTGTCTTAACAAACTTGGTCTTCCTTCGGGCACCTTTCAGGTTCCAAGGTCCTTGAATGTGTCTCCTATGCACTTTCAGCTTCCAGTTTTTCTTTTTTTGAGACCACCAAAAAAAAAACTAACCACAACGGTCCCATGTTTTGTTGTTGAGCTCTGCCCGCCAGCCGCGAGCCGCGAGCCGCGACCCGAGCCGCCAGGTCTGCGCTGCTCGAGCCCTCGGCCTCGAGCGCCTCTGCCGCAGTTTGCGTTTTGTTCTGCTTGTGTTCTTTCGGCATCGTGTGGTAAGGTGTGTTTCCATCAAATGTTTCTTGCTTTGCTTTTCTCTGTTGCCCTTGTGTCAGTAGCTGTTTTGAGATTTCCCCCCTGGGTGAAGACTCAAGTCTACCAAGCATGGGATCGGGTTACGAGGTTTTTGCAGATCGGTTTATTCCTGGCATGAGTTTTCATTTCGGGACCCCATGGACATGGCTGTGGGCCAAAGCAGTTTTAGGTGCACCACCCATTTAAGAACCTATTTTAGTGGTCGGATACCGGATTTTGACCCATGGCCACAAATCGGGGTTTGGCTGGTTCCCGATTTTTCCCAGGTTTCTGGGGATCTCCGAGAGCCAGATGCAGCTGGCGGTGAAGAGCGAGGTCTTCAAGCTGCTTCTGGCGCCCTGGGGCTGGAAGGATGGTGCGGGCCTCAGAAATATATCCCTCTAAGGGTCACCCCTTGGCCGTTGGTTTAGACCATTTTAGTGGTGAAAGAAAAGTTCCTTCTTGTTTTTCAGCCAGTCCACTCAGGAAGTAAGTCTACACACAAAAGACTTCCATTTGCTGGAAAGAATCCGTGTGATTCTTGCCTGGTGTGTCTGAAAGGAAGCTATGCGTGATTCTTCCCTGGTGTGTTGGAAGGAATCTACCGCTACTGGGAATATGTTGTCTTTTTTCTCCCAAACAGCTTAAGCAAATGGATGTATATAGACACTTTTTCCGCGGCACAGCAACGGGAACCATAAAATACTGTTGTGTGTATGGCTATGAATTTTAACAGTTGGAACCACCTGAACTAAAGTGGTGGACATGACTCCCCACCGAATTCTGACCAAAGAGTCCCGTGCTAAGATTCAGACCTATGGGCTTGTCTTTGAGGGAGTCTTTGAGGGAAGCCAACGGGAACCCCACCATTTTACGGGTTTCTCTAGTCTGAGACAAATGTATCCAACGGACCCGACACTTGTCTCTTAGTGTCCTCAAAAACCCGACACTTGTGACAGAGGTTGCGTTTCCCAAAAAGCATGACCTACCTCTAGGGGTTGATTTCCCATTCTGGACCGGAGATCTCATGCGTTTCCCTTTGGTTTCCCTGCATGCTTCGGGGTTGATTCCTTTTGGTTCAATCATCCTTGTGACAAGCGGCATCCCTCTGGAAAGAATGGGGAAGTTCGCGCTGGAACTTCTCCCGTGGTTTGGGTTGGTGGTTTGGGAAATGGTCGCTGGGAGACTTGCTGAACCTTGCATATGGCTTAGGGGCTGCAACGGTTTTAACTAGGTTGGGGATTTGAACAGTTTGACGCACCCCAAACCCCCCCAATGACATATTGGGAATGCAACC